CTGCGGCACACACAGCCAAAGATGTTCAGCGTATGAAAAGAATACTTCGTTTGTTGAGTTTTACTTACGAAGTAGACAGAAAAGGTACCTGGCAAAAAGATGATTCGAAGCAAACCGTCACTCAAACGGGCCGAAGGCCCGTTTTCGGATCGAAGATGTATTACACCATACAAATTCGCCGAAGGCCCGTCCCAAACGCCGCCGGCAGGCCAAGCTGGGCCCGCTCCCTGTCGAACCGAGTTGCCGGTGGAGCGAAGCGGAGCTGGCAACTTGGTTTGGCGGAAGAGCGGGCCCAGCTTGTTTTCTTTTTGCGTGTATTTCGATATATTTCTGTGTATTTTACGGTATTTCACTGTATTCCTCTTGCATTCTTCAGTATTTCTGTGTGTTCGAGTTGGCAGCCCCTTGGCCGTACCCTTCTCCCAAAGTGTGTACGTAGTTCTGCGGTTTTCTGAAACACAAAGGAAGAAGCTTGGTTTGTCTCGTCTAATGCACGACAGTGTAGCGGGTTTGCCTACCCAATCTGCTTGCGAGGCGCTATGAGGCGCCATGGCCCCTTGGGTAGGCAAATCCGCTACACTGTGGTGTACTGGATGTGACACTCCATAATATTATACTCTGAGTTGTAAGGGGAAGAGGGAGGGGATTGGGTCATGACCGGAAATGCGATCGTGAGATCTGGGACTCTTCACACAAACTGAACGTCGCAGGTCGCGGCTGTGTTTAGTCGCGTTCATACAGCGCTCGGATAGATCCACGGCTCGACATTTAACTGGACACGAATCTGACACCTCACGGTGTTACGCCACGCCGTAAGTTCACCGTGGACAACCACGACCAGAAGTGTGCCAGCAACGAGTTGACCGCTAATTTCCCCCCCCTCCCCAACTCACACACACAGGCCATCCCTTGCTGCTCCGATGCACTTTGCTTTGCGGGTCGGCCTACCCAGCACTACTCAGGCGATCGGGTGCGACCACCCCTGGTGGTATGTTTCAGACCCTTGTAGTTCCAAAGCCAGTTTTTGAAAATGGTAGGTAGTGATAGAGAGAGAGACGGTTTCTTGCATTACTCGGGCGTACTTCAGCAGCGGACTGCATTCTAGATTTCTCAA